AACAGAAAATGCCAAGTAACCTTCCAGTCTTACATAGAACTGACTACATTAAGGTCATACATTACATTCAAGGTTGAGAGCCTGTGATGCAAGGGAAAAGAAACATGTACTGATCACCCGATTTCACCTCTTGAGCATGTCCAAAATTTTACCCAAAAGTACATCCATTAAACATAAGTGGTCCTTATTACTGTGAGAACCTCGTGATGGTGGAGTGATTCTAGTTCTGTTTTATAAATGGGAATATGAGTACAGAAACTAAAATGTCTTGTCAGACGTTACAAAGTTGCTTCTACTTACTTGAATAAGCTCATATTTGCCAAACTATCGTCCTAGTCCTTTGCTAGAATTACATGACTCTTCGGCTTTGTCTGCCCTCAGGGAGGGCTGGAGATCACAGCTCTACACCGGAAGGCAAACAAAGAACTCTTGAAGAGTAAGGAGTGCTCATACACCAAAACACTTCTAACTTTCTCAGACAGGTGTTAGAAGTCTTGGCATCCAGAAAGTAGCATAACACTTCTCTCATCGGTCAGAATTTCCATCTGAGTTGCAATTCAAAAGCAATGTTGTTAGGTCTCACCTGCACCTTTCCTTCCCTCCTGCATCATAAAGTTACACTATCATAAAACTTCTCCAAGGAGCTGTGAAGTCCATTTCTACCCTAATTGATCTGTGCTATGTTAATATTCTCAATTAGTTTGTGGATTTTCCAAATAGTTTTTTGAATTGAATTGATGTTTTCTTGTCTGGTTAAAAATATGTTTCTGCTGGCATGAATGGACACTGATGCCAGTTTACAGATCAGGCATGTGATAACATGAATTGATGTAATGTAAGTGCTGCCAGGAAATAAAGAGCAGTCATCCCCAGCAGGCTTCAGCATATCAAACCTCTGCTTTAAACTTCCACAGAGCTTTTAGCCCAGACAGGCTACTAAATCATATAAACTGACATGCTGTATATCACAGTCCATCATAGTAACAAAGTTGCCCTATTAAAGTGGTGATGGCTCGGGTTCGGCAAACTCCTCCTGACACCAGGGTGCTTGCACCACAGAAAGAAACAGCCACAGAAAAGCATGCTCTTATGTCCCAAATCTGTGTGTCCTGTAAGGGCATACTCTCAAACCTCTACCATGACAGAGGAACAAACCAGCAAAAGATAACAGGCCAAGGTGACCTTTGCCACAAAGGCAAATGTTTATCTCTGGTCCTCCCTGCTAATAGACTAGAAGAAAATTCCCCAAGTCATCTCCAATTCTGTTGAATGATCACTGACCCTGGGATCAAGACAGTGAGCATCACCATGACATGATGAGGATTTCACAATTGTCTGACAATTTCCCGCCATACATCAGAACACCAATTTGTCTTATGTCGTTTACACAACCTTAAATGAATCACAAGAAAATAGCATGAAGCCCTTTTCAAAGTGTATTAGGGTAGTTGTATATGAATTGCAAGAGTCACTGGGATGAGTTGCAACTGTGACAGATCAGTTGAATATAAAACAATATAAAACTTCTGTTGTTTCTTGGCACATGAAAAAGGGAAATCAAGGAGTTGAGAGATTTAGTCTCTGGATGAGAAGACAACATTATAAGGGGCAAAGTCCAATTTCCATGCATCTAAAAATTCAGTGTATCCTGAAAAAAAGCCGCAGAGATCTTTCAGAAAAGTAGCTATCTTAAAAGTTACATAAGATTCATTTTTGGAATAATGTTAAACTTTCCTAAATGTTGCAAATGAGCATAGAACAATATCCAATAATTAACATGGGAGCTTTGATTGAAAATACATTTTATACGTCTGTAGTTTGGTTCAGTGAAACCTATGGGAAACTTGGCATGGCCAGTGACAAAGCACACGTGAACCAAACTGATAAAATTTATGGATTGATGAAGCCTGATCCAAATGCAAATTTCAAATTTGTCACGTGATCCCAGGTTGGTGCTAGTACATCATCTGTACCTGAATTTGACACTGGAAGATTTCAAGAGTGTTTTACAGACCTAAACATCAAGCCATAACTTGCTGCAAAGCTACTTGTTGTGAACAACTGCAGAACATCTGAGAATGGGTGAGACTGTACATCAGGAAAAGCTGAGATGAAGCTCCAAATTCTGTCACAGCGAAAGGTAGAGATGCTGCCCAAGTAGAACTGCAGGTGTAGGAATAATAAACCATGACTACACTCACACCACAAATGGATGGGGATGTGTCTTCTTCACAAGAGGGATTCTGAACTGAAAGACTGTGTCCAGATAAATGGCATCCAATAAGAGAACACCAGTCAAGCACTGAGCACTGTGGAACACAATTAAAAAGACCTTAAAAAGTGGGAAAAGATTAATTCCAGAAACACTAGCTCAGCTGGCACTGTAGCTTAGTAAGGTCTGTGCTACTGTCACACCAAAAGCCTACCTGACAACATTTCAGTTGGCTGAGTCAACTGCAAATATGCTGCTGATGTCTGCTGCAGCAGTATTTCGATCATGTGCAGATGGAAAGCGAGTGTACCACACAGATAACACAACAACTGTTCTTAGGTCTTCTGTACATTGATCTGGTTTTATGTACATTATTTTTTAGGCTGATGTGACCTTTTCTGCTTCACACATGTACTGCATTGGCATTTTAAGTGAGGGGAAAAAGTCATCAGCAAAATTTTTGGATCATGTCTCCATTATTTGCTGGTGTTTTACTAAAAATGCTGGCAATTTTCCAGTTCATTAAGGTTCATCTCAGATCTGGCTCTTCTGGCAAGAAATAAAGCTATTAGGATGCCAATAGTAAAACATTTAACCTAAATTAAAAAAAAATAAAATCCCTACTGCTTGCAAAATAGTAACATAATAATTGTGGTTGAAGCTGGCTCAAGTAATTTCTAGTTTTAATGTATATGCATCTAAGGGAAAACTGTTCTGTCTCTTTAATTCCGTAGAAGCTGTCTTGGTCAATTAAGTTACTGATAGCTAAAATAGTTTGTAACGTTTACTGTATTTGTTGTAAGCAAGGTACTAAAAGCTTGAGGTCTCAGCAGAGAAGGCCCTAGGAGAAAAGTAGTACTGACTTCAAATTAGAAAATAATTTCTCCCCTAAGCAAAATTCATACTGATTATTTAAACAACTTCCATTCCCTTGCCATTCTAGGCAGAGGGTACTTTAAAGCAAGCATATTGTCCTAGCTCAGCCAGCCTCCAGTCCTGCTGGCTTGTGTGGGGACAGACATGGTGGTTCCATGTGCAATGCTGCTTTGCCTCCTGCATCGCTCTGATGCAGATCCTGTGACAGCGAAAACAAAGGAAGACTCTCACTGATTTGTGTAAGAACTGGGAAGTCTTTCCACCTAACATCTACTCAGATTACAAGGGATTTATAGGCTGCATTGTCCTGTATCTTGTTCCTTGTGAACCCATTTATCTGCCCATGTGTTACGAATGCTGTCAGGGCAAGGTGGGTACCAACTGCTGCCATGCTGATTGGAACAGCAGTTCATGCAAAACCACCATATCTATTCTGCACTGCAGAAAGCCTCATCTTTCTAGAAAGTTTCCTAAGAGTGCCTCCTTTTCCGGCCTGTCTTGCATTTGAGAGATGCATATTACAAATGTGTAAAATGGCCGATAAGCAGCTCCATATTGCCCCATATGGTAATATAGAACTTATACACAAACTCTGAATGCTGAACCAAATTATACAATGTACTAGGTGACCTTCAGTAAGTGTCAAGAAATTACAACTGCTCAGAGGACCAAGAAGACTCGTGGAAGAGCAGTGGAGGCTCTAGCAACTCCGGAATGTTATGTATGTGATCGCAATAGCTGCATCTATGTTGTGGAGTGGTCACATTAGCAGCTGAAGAAAAGTACTTCATCAGCACTTACACTAATACAAGATGAAGACTGAGAGACCTGGATGGAGATAAGTAAAAACGAACAAGTAGAATAATGAAAATAAGCTCACAAATATCACAATTACCTACTCTTCCCTATACAGAGCTGGTCAGTCTCTGGATATTAGGGTAAATTTCTGCATGAATTAGATCTATTACTTCAAGACAGTGCAGAGTCTGGGGCAGAGACACAGGTTTTCTGTTGCTATTGTTTCCAGGTTTTGCTTTGGGAAGGGGAAAATGCTGAGCTTTTAAACTGCCAAAACCTACAGTGTAGAGTTTCAGCCAGGGCTAAAGCATCAGAGCCCCCTCCGTTGCCAGCACTGCTGGAATACAGCTGTGTAAGAGACTTGAACCATATCTGTCTGTCTGTCCTTTCTCTGTTGATGCGCACTAATCCTAGTTGATCCTTACATGAGAAAATAAAGAAAATATAAGAAGAAACGAACTACCTTTGTGAAAAGTAGGAGATCATTCCTGTGAATGAACTGATCTGTACAATACTGGGATTAGAGTCTGGCTTATTTTAAACTATCTACAAATGATCTTGAGACTGTTCAGGTTTGAGAGCTCTGTGTTTAAGTTACAGCAATATATATACGGTAGCAATATCACCAGTTATAAACAAAGCATCTACTGGCATAATGTGGACTCAACTACTGATGCATATATTGCATCAACCTTCAGCAAATGAAACATTAAATGAAGTCTGTTCAGAAAGTCTTCTGCGGAATAAACAGAATACCTGTAATCGCATTCACTTCTTGTCCAATGCCAATAAGTGAACTACAAGTATGTGCCTGTTTCTTTTATTTATAACCACTGAGCCAGGTTGTGTTTCCAGGCACAGTTTGTGAATTTTGCAAATTGTTGCCCTGATCTTTTTCCTAGTTTTGAGGTTTTATAAACCTGTATCATCATCATCATGGTTAGGCTTCGCGAACGAAGATTTGGGATAAACCTGTATAGAAGCTGTTTAATTCTACTACCTTTCACTAGTAGGAAGTGGCCTACATGGAAATGTCTGGGCTTCAATTCTGCTACAGTTACCTTTTCTCCTTGCTCTTCTTCATGTTCCCACTCTCCCCTTTATCACTACTTACTCAAAGGGGTCGCTGGGATCAGCTCTCTGGAGCTCTGGAGGAATCGGTATTCTTTTGTAGTACATTTCCCAGTCAAAAGCTCCTCGCATGGCATCCCCCGCCTGTGCCTCGTAGCCAAAGTGATTGTGGTCAATGACATCGATCATAGGACACACGATGGTTTTGTGGTTAAGTGCAATCTGGTCTGAAAAATGAAAGTAGAAAATAGGAAACGGCATGTCTAGTCAGGCCATCTATCATATTACTGCAAAGTGAATCCCACGGGTTTCTGATGTTTGAAGATTGCTTGCTTTGTGCCCTATGGCCCCCCAAATAATTTCATTTTCAAATCTGTATCAAACTTTTATCTAAAGTGGAATTAATGCAGTTGGGAAATGATTAGAAGTATTTACAGTTCTTTAAAGGGAGGCATATCCCTGTGAGACCCACATGAGTCCAGTCATGTATATCTCTGCCACTTTGCTACTCTTAGCTGTCCCCAATCTGTCAGCTATGAAACAAACCAGCAAGCAAACTGTAAAAATACTCCTTCAGCTGTGGGGAGTGTGTATGGCAAGCTCCTGCAAGAGGGATTTGTGTTCCTAAATGTGAAACTCAGCCCTTGCAACCATTCAGCCACTGTTCCTACGGCTGTAGTGTGCATCAGCTTTGAGATCAAATGCTCTAAATTAAAGGCAAACTCCAACATGAAGAGCAAAACAGAGCTTGTGTCCTTTTCTTGTACCAATCTTTGAGATATAAAGAAGGTTCCACAGTATTATTCTTACCTGCTTTCTAAAGAAAGCAGTTTGGGTTTGCTTTTTTTTAAAGAAAAAAAATGTTAGAACTGTGAGGTTAAATCAAATTCCCAGGTCTAGTATAAGCTCAAAGTGGCCTTCAGTCTGCTTTGGTGAATCCTATTATTTAATCCTACAGAACTCCTCCGAAAAAAAAGGCAAAAAAATAAGATATGCCAACTGCAAGAACTAGGCAGAAGAATGGCTTGAAATTAGGAAATACAGAGAAAATCCAAAAGGATTGACATAAAAGGACAGTAGAAAAACTACCTACAAACCCCTGAAAAAACTAAAATCTCAACATTCCAAGAATAATAAAGCTTTTTCTCTGAATGGCAGCCTAGATCCTTTAAATTATTTAGTATATGTTAGGGCCTACGTGGAAAACTTGGTTTTTGTTTTTAAGGCTTAGGTTTCCCTGGTGCTTGATAATACCCTAAAAATAATCAGAGGGCTCAGTATGGATTGAACACTTAGATAGGAAGGTGTACACCAGTCAGGCGTAGACCAATACTTGTGCAATGATTAATAATACAGATTCTTCTTCCTTGCTTCTGAGGGACTGAAATTAAGAAAAATAGATTATTTTAGCAAAGCATCTGAGTTTTTATATTTATTCTAAGTTGCTGTTAAGAGGCTGTCCAAATCAATGCTGACTGCTAGTGAGAAATTACTGTGACTGGAAGTTCAGCAGGTTTTTACATCCTTATCCTTTAATAGTGAAATAAATTTAAAGCACGGGCTCTTACAAAATTCTAGGAAACTCATCTCAGAGATAATGGCTGCATTACTGTTGCTATTCCAAACATAATTACATTCACTAGTATACTGTGTAGTGTTATCTGTGATCATTATATAAAGTCACTTCTACATAGTATCTTTCCGGTGATGGTCCTGCTAATAGTTATAGGACTCATAACAGTCTGACTCTGTTCCCCCCCTTCTAAATTGATTGGAAGAGAGAAACTAAGTGGGATTGATTTGGCTGGAGCAGGTCAAAGGTAGACTCATAATGCTTTAGCATCCCTCTCTTCATCTTTAAAAGCTGCTGTCTTTAAACACACCGAGGGATTTGAAGTCTCCAAGTCACATGCAGAGATAGTCACGGAGAAATTTATTTGAGCAATGCTCAAACTCGATACCAGTCTTCATTTTGCAACTCTCAAGAATTTTGTAAGTATGATGATGCTTACCTGCCTGCTTTTGTGTATTTCTGCAGAACTTACTTCTCAGCCCCCAAAATGTTTTAGAGATGAGGAACCATGGGAAGATCTTGACTTTTGATGAAACCAGGGTGTTTAGCTATGCACACCAAAAAGCAGAGTAACCAAAGTTGCAGCCTCAATGTTTCTTTCATATGCCTAAAATAATGTATTTTGCATATATACTACTTAGGCTTAAATGTACCGTGATTAAGAATTTAGGAAACAGAAAAAAAGTCTGTAGGGCTAGCTTTCACATTTCACAAGTGTGCTGGTATCATAGCTTTAGAGATGTAAACATGCTGCTGCCTTTGTCACCTACTGCTCTTTACCCCACCTGCTCCTAGTGCAAGACACCCAAAAACACTGCATAAATGCTTCACAATTTCTTTTCCGTTGCCTTTATTCATCATCCTCTCACGAACTCCTACTGGTCCGAAAATATCCATGCATTGTTTCAATGCATCTATGCTGCAGTTAAAGGGAAGAACAGACAGATAAGCATCACCGTACATGCAAAAATCTCGCAGACTTCAGGGAAAGCCTGGGAACAAGAGAGAACATTGCTCAGAGCTTTCTCCCTAGCAATTTAAAGCAATATATAAACACATATTTGAATTCCGCACTTTCAGTATCAAACAGAGTGTGCATACATGGCAATAAACAAGAAGTTTTCAATATTGGATGAGTCACTATTTCAGTAAGCTTTATCTTTATGAGAAAGATGCACCTCTTTAATTTCAAGTGGTTGTTTCAAATTGACCTGGATAAAGTAACAATGCCAAGTTGCAAATACTCTTATTTTTGCAATTTTTCATTGGAAATACTATTACTGTCCTGCTTAAATATGAGATTACAGATAGTGACAACATTTGAGTGGTTCAGCAAATTACGTCTTGCTATCTGAGTTGCCATAAGTGCTTGTATCCTCAGTTTCCCCACTGACAAGCAATACATCATATACATGTTGTGGAGATGGATGGTTGTAGTGAGTGAGTGTTTTGATAACTTGCTAAGCATAATCTAATCATGATACAATTTTAATTTTTGGTCAGGAAAAAAACACATTTTAACAAACCTAGTTCTGGTACCCTATGGGACTACTGATCTATTGCCCATCTCTCCGCTTACTTCTCCTGCAGCAACATCAGGAGAAGGAAATATGTGCCTGCACCTTTCAGCTGGTTCACCATTCAGTTTCTTATCTGCAATAACTGTGACTTCACACTGCACTAAACTGCCAACTACAGCATCTAGAGCCCAAGTTACACCTTTCCTTCTGCTGACTTTATACCACCAAGGAGTGACAACAAACAGCTGTATTTGCCAGCCTTTTTACATCACTACAGCTGCCCACTCAGTGAATATGAGTATCTGGTATCTCAGTGTCTTATCTAAGTTTAACAGCCCTTTTAAGCTAAATAAACTAAATAAAGCTTAAAGAAAATAAAGTCATTTTACACCAGTTTTTAAGAAAGTAAAACAAAGGACTGTAACTGCAAACAACTGTGGCTCAGCTCTACAAAGCCAATTAGACACCCTACAAGTAATAAAATAACTCAGTTTTCCTTTGGTCTAAAAGCTGACAGTCAATTCTGAAAATATAAGTTAGATACTTAAATGTAAGAACCATCTTTAAGTGATAGCTCTCAGTTTCTTCACCACCCCCTTTGTCCTCTAACTTTCAAGGTCTTGTTTTGAACAAAAGCTGAGCTGGAACAGTGGAAACCACTGCCCCTCTCAGTGAAGGCTGCCAGCCCAGAGCAGGGCTGAACTGTGTTCTTGTTTAGGATTTTTCACTACACATGGCAGAAACAATCAGAGCTAAAGTAGGTTAGTTTCAAAGCAATAAACACCCAACATATCCTCTGTTGTGGTTTCCCTGAATGACTTTCAGTCACATGCAGTGCTGAGTGAATCATTAGATCTTCAGATAAACACTTGAAAATATACATTAACTTTACTATTATTAGAAGCCAGGTGTCATCTGATTTCAGTATAGTAAATATTTGCCATCTAATGTTTATAAGAAAGTTCTCTCATCCCTTTAGGAAAACAGGGTATCCTTAAATATACTAAATGTGTGTTCATTCTCTATTTGTCCTTCTTCATGTAATGCTCTACTTTTTCTTTCAAAATATCCCAGTATTCCCCAAGATTCATTTTTAGATCCTCTGGTTGGTTGGTTATCTATGGAAATTCTACTACATGTGGAATGAGAAAGATCTCATTCCACTTGAGAACTAAGGACTTTGTCACTAATGAAGTTTCTCTCATCTTTCCAGTTTTATGGTTTGAGGATGAGAGTTGAATACCCAACCGCAACCTAACTGCAATTATGAATCCTGTGTCACCATTCTATTATTTTTCCATTTTTATAGGGTGAAACCTGGCTAGATGTATGGAATAGACTATCTGGAGTGAGATAACGTATGTGCAGGACAACCAGGGGACCAGGTCCAGCCAGCATAGGTTTATTAAAGTCTGGTCTTGCCTGACTAACCTATTTCCTCCTATAAGCAGGTGACCTGACTAGTGGATGAGTGAAATCTGTGGATGTTGTCTACCTGGACTTCAGTAAAGCCCTTGATACTGTCTCCCACAGCATTCTCCTGGAGAAGCTGGCAGTTTAGATGGGTGCACTCTTCACTGGGTAAAAAACTGGCTGGATGACCAGGCCCAGAGAGTGGTGGTGAATGGAGTTAAATTCAGCTTGCAGAAGGTCACAAGTGATGTTCTCCAGGGCTCAGTACTGGGGCCACTTCTCTTTAACATCCTTACCAACGATCTAGATGAGGGGATCAAGCACAACCTTAGTCAGTTTGCAGATGACACCAAGATGGGTGAGAGTGTCAATATGCTGGAAGGTAGGAAGGTTCTGCAGAGGGATCTGGACAGGCTGGATCAATGAGCTGAGGCCCGGGGGTCACAACAACTCCATGCAGTGCTACAAGTTTGCAGATGCATGGCTGGAAAGCTGTCTAGAGGAAAAGGACCCGGGGGTGCTGGCTGACAGGTGGCTGAACATGAGCCAGCAGTGCCCAGGTGGTCAAGAAGGCCAGTGGTATCCAGGCCTATATCAGCAAAGTACGGCCAGCAGGACCAGGGCAGTGATCACACTCCTGTACCAGGCACTGGTGAGGCTGCACCTCAAGTCCTGTGTTCAGTTTTGGACCCCTCACTACAGGAAAGACATTGAGGTGCTGGAGAGAGTCCAGAGAAGGTCAGCAAAGCTGGTAAAGGTCTGGAGCACAAGTCTGCTGAGAAGTGGCTGAGAGTACTAGGGTTGTTCAGTCTGGACAAAAGGAGACTTAGAGGAGACCTTATTATGCTTTATAACTACCTGAAAATAGGTTGTGATGAGGTGGGGGTCAGTCTCTTTTCCCAGGCAACTAGTGATAGGATAAGGGGAAATGGCCTCAAGTTGTACCAGGGGAGGTTCAGATTGGATATTAGGAAAAATTTCTTCACTAGTTAAGCATCAGAACAGGCAACCCAGGGAAGTGGTGGGTTCAACATCCCTGGAAGTGTTCATAAAATGCATGGACTTGGCACTTCATGATATTGTTAGTGGACATGGTGGTATCAGGTGAAAGGTTGGACTCGATGATCTTGCAGGTCTTTTCCAGTCTTAATGACTCTATGGCTCATTTCGGAGAAGAAAGTAAGAAAAGGAACTGTTTTTGCAACTTGCAGTTTTCTCATGTTACAGTTTGCAAAATAGAAGGGTTACTGCTGTAACTTAGCAAAAGACTTCGGAGGAACAAGAGTGAGAAACTTCTTGAGATTTTTTTAATTTGTGGCAATGTATTATGAGAAGTGAGGCAAAACCAGAAAACAAACGAAAGGTGGTTGTATATGTAGAGTGCTCTGGAGGGTTTAACAGCTACTTGTTGGGGATGCTTGTTGAAGGTTTGTTAAAACTTGTATTTTTCTCTGCTCCTTTATACCATTTGTGCTTCACATGAAGTCATGGAGGTTATTTTTAAAAATGCGGATGTTGTGACTAAGGGCAAAGGGGTAACAAGGGGAAAGACTGTATGCATAATTTGATACAGAAACTAGAAAGTATAAAATTTAGAATTTTGTGCATTATCTTGTTATTGATCTGAAGAGAAACTAGTATTTTTTTTTTGTCTCTAGTGATAGTTCATTAGCAGAACAGCACATCTTGCCTGGAAATGCTTTATCAGCTTACTGTGTGGCCCAACAGTCCAAACAACAAAATTCAAGAAATAATAACCATTAATTGGTGAAACCATAACCTGTTCTCCACTTACAACAGGCTTTTTAAATTAATACAAATTTCTTTAATAGGAAACTCAGAAATTTTCTTTGGTTACGGTAGCAAAAGAAGCACTCTACAAAGCATATACACTTTGCATGTGGTCAGGTGTGTAGAAAAGTGGACATTGTTTCCTAAAGTGAAATCCTAGGCTACAATCGATTCTTTCCATTCCTTTGACTAATGGAGCTTTGCTGGCTGCAGCTGGAATCCAGCAAAGCAGTCAATAGCATATCATTCTTTCTGAGCTTCCTGTTGTGAATGCAGTTGCTACTGGCTTAAACACTAAGGCCTTGGATACATTTACAGTAAAAACTGTTTTAATGAAATGTGGAAGACTAGGAAGGAGTACAATACCTACATAAGAAAACTTTCCTGGTATATAATGAGGACATAGCATAATACTAGATTTAGTACTGTATTTCGTAGTATTAATAATAAAACACATTGTAACTATATTAGGCCAAAGAGATACTTCAAAATTTTACTAATTCTTTAGTCATAAGAAACAAAATGGAGCTGCTTACACTTCTCAGAGTTCTCTCTCATGATGACACTTCAGACACTGCAGCAGAACTTCAAACACTTTGATAAAGTGTATGTCCTGCTTATTGTGGGACACAGCTTCAGTTGTTTGCTCTATGTTCTAATTTTAATGTCTGATGAATGCTCATACACTTACTAAGCAAGGGAGGCAGCCAATTCACGTTGACTTCGCAATGGGAATCCAGAAATGTCAAGACTTCTCCTCTAGCCAGTGAGGCTCCTAGCAGTCTGGTTCGAATGAGCCCTTCTCGTTTCTTGGTTCGTACAATCCTCACTTTGGCAAAACGGACCATGTATTCCTCCAGCTTCTCTTTTAAATGTTCTAGAAGGAAGGGCAAAAAAAGCGTCAGTGGTACCAGGGCTGGAGGAACCAACAGAAGGACAGGTTGGCATATAACCTGCAAGCAGCTTATCTACTTCCATCTCTTGTCACTTCAAGTCCTTCAAACTGCCATAAATCCTCCCTGAAGTGGTTCAGAAAGTGCAAATATTCTCTGTTTTATCACACAGAGGAAGACACTGACACTCTGCTGCAGTTGCTACTGGCAACCTGCCATCCACAATATAATAGCCAAAACAACTGCAGGATATTCATCCATCCTCTGGTTCCTGCAGCCCAAGGCCATATAAACATTCTGGCATGCTGTTTTAGAAACAGTGTCCTTTCCAAATGGGTCTCCTATATCAACTAATTATGAAGAACTATGCATGGAAATAAATTTTAAAAAATAAAACTAGAATGATTATGTTGTTTTTGCAATGGGAAGGGAAACAGATATGAAGAAAGATCTTAATAGCTGGATACCAGCATGAAGCATATAGACAGACAGTTGACTTCCTAGTAAAATCAAGCTGTAGATGTAGAATAGTTGATAGGTTCTCTGATCTGCAAAATCCGTCTCTGTTTGTATCACAAAACATCATCTTTGTTAACATTTTTTCTTCTGACTAGAAATGCACACTAAAAATCATAAAAAAACCCAACAACAAAAAACACCCTATAGTTTAACTGCTTCCTAAATACATCTACAACACAAATCCTGATCTTTGGTCTTTGCTGTAAACCCTCAGCTTTCCAGACTCATTACTTCAGAAAAATATGATAACTTCATTTGTAAAGGAAAAAGGGAGAGAAAAGCTTAGTCTCTGATAATTAAAACTGTTGATAAGCCACATTTAGTGATGCTAGGGGTTGCAAGCTAAGTCTCAGTGAAATGGTTTTCCCAGGTTATGATTGTTTCTTACATTAGTTACTGATTCTTTGGACTTTTAGGGACAGCACAGGCCTTGATTCAGACATTACATCATAATAGATTGCAAGAAATGCAAAAGGACTGCCATTTAGCAGTACTCTGGAGTACTGGAGTACCTGCTGACACACAGACTACAGGCAATGAGCAAATAAGTCACAGTGCAGACAATAAAGGATCTTGTGTGAAAGATCTAGTTAGCAAACACATAAGACTCTCCAAATTTACCTGTAAATTAGGAGGAAGTAGAACACTGATGTGTAGTTATGTGTATTCAGTGGGAGAGTGCTACACTGGATGCTCCTCTGCACTGAGGAATCCTGATGCATGCTGGCACAGAAGAGGGATCTGGGAACATCAGCTTGCAAGGATTACAGAACAGGATGGGGCTTTTGGGAGGAGAAACTCGACACTTTGGAGATGTGCTGAGTCAAGAGAGTGGTTTGTGTTCATAGTACTGCTCAGGAGAAGTATTAGAGCAAGTGAGGAAAGCCAAGATTGGGAGGGTGGGAGAAAGAATGACATTCAGATATATAGAAAATGGTTTTTGTTTTCTACTCTGTGGTTGACTGTAGAATATACATTTAAATTCTGAAATAAGAAGGAAAGAGGTATCCCTTTATCCATCCCATTTCACTACTTACATACTCAATAAAAAACTGACACAATCCCTCAAAAGTCACAATGTCAAGAGATGTTTTGTGTCCTGAATGGTGGGCTTTTGTATGACCAACCATATTCACAAGACAAAGCTTGTGTGCTACTCTGACTCATTTTAGGTACCAGCTACAATTCAGTATTGTGACTGAACTGAGGTTCATTCAAGTCTTGGATCATTTTGTGTCCACAGGTAAGACACTTTAAAGTGTGTATTTATTGAACTGTTTTCCTGTTTTTATGAGCTCCATTGAGACTATTCCCTTGGTGCTGGAACACAGAAGAAGGGAAACAGAGTTTAAAAACAAAGATACAAAGACCTTGCAGGTAATATAAGAAAGTCTGTTAGGGTTGTCAGTCTGGATTTTTTTCTATATTGTAAGTCGTATCATCTAATAGCCAGGAAAAATGAAACAGCTCCAAAGTGACAGGTTATTACATATTTCCAGAGTAAATCAAACCTAATCTGTTAGGTACCATAGCTTCTGTTAGTCCTCAGACACCAGAAATTTCCTGTATTTCTCTAAGGTCACCTAACCCTTTTCCTTTGACCTCTTGCACCCATAAGTTTGCACTGAATAGTGCATAGAGACCCAGCACCAAGAGCAAGACCACATTGCTGTGCACTATACAGATAAGTAATAAAAAGAATCAGGTTACTCAGCCTGAACACAGCTCTCCAATTGTGGAAGCAAGCATTAAATGCCTTGGTTATAGTGCAAATCTCCCATCATCACCTGCCTACCCTTAGAGACTCCAGTTGATCAGAGTATAGCTCTGAATTTGATTATGTATCAGATACAATTACTTTAGTCTTCCTTGTGAGCTGGTTCTATGCAGTTTCCCTCCTTGTATGTGAAGGCAGCTACCAAGAAAGCACCGAAACTCTCTGATGGAGAGAAGCAGGAGCCTTACTCGAACAACCCAAATTGTTTGTGGTATTGCTAGGCTCTCTGCTGCCTGTAGGCACACCTGAATTGGACATTCACTAGTTAGGTGTCACAATGGTTAAGGTAAGGCCCTTTCAACAGGCAGTTTTGAATATGGCCACCACTGGTGTTTAAATGAACTAATACAAATGCATTCTTTTCATGTATTCTGACTGTTAACATTTGTCTTGGGCCAAATTAATTCAGTGAAATTCAGTCTTTTACAAAGGACTTAATTTCATTCCTTTCACATCTTGCAGTGAGCAAATTCTGAAAGCTTGAGTGCCTATCTTTTCAGGAAAACACTTCAGAGAGAGATGATGTAAACTCTCATATTATGATACATTCTTTTCTGTTCTTATATCAATTGCTAAATAACAATGGAGTTGAATAATATGATTTGATTGTCATCAGTTGTACTGGACCTTGAACTCCATGAAATCAATGGTAGTTCACACTGTTCTTTCATTGCTTCATATTCCCCGCAAACTCAGGAAAAAGGTCTCTCAAATTTTAAACTTTTTTTTTTTTTATGTGAGAATAATATATGAAATTCTGTGGAGCAAACAAGAGCTCTGTACCACCTTCCTCCCTCTCTCTCACATAGCTCTTCACACATTTCAGACAGCAGGTCACCTGATTTGTGAAGAACTGCATTAAAACATCCAGCAAATCTTTTGATGCCAGAATCACATATCCCAAAATTGTTTTCATCTAGTCAATTAGTTCCATAACTGAATAATTTTATTATTTTCTCTCTGTTGCTCAAAGAACAAGTTGAAAAAAAGCAGTATACAAACATAATTTGCACACCTTGTTTACACAGAATTCTAAACGCATCCTCATTTAGACATATCTGGAAGTAGTCAGGAAGAAAACAAAACTAATAAGTGGTAAATTTTATAGAGCTTATTTAGAAAAATGACATTAAAAAATCAAGTCTGCATACAAATCAACATATATAGATTACTAGAGATACATAAGGTATTAAAATTTTATAAAACAATTACATGTTAGTAATATCCTAACCGTTAAGTCACAACATAGTCAAAGAGATGCCTGTAGCAATACCTACTGTATCTTTAGCTTTGAGATATGGCAAGGAAGGCAGTTTAGGAATTTATTTGGGAAAAAAATCACAATAGCTACAGATAACTATAAAAACACTGCAAAGTATTTAAGTTCAATGACCAACTCCAATATGGTTGTCAGAATTAAAAGATCTTAAAGTGAAGGAAAAAAATTCCCTTTTGGATCCATAAGTAATGATTTTTTAAACTTAAATCAATATGAAAGTGCTCTCATGCTCTATTTTCTCCTGTAATGTCTTGTAGCAATATCTGTTTTGAATCTTATCAACCTCTAAAAGCATAAATAAAGACAGAGTAACAGCCAGCAACAGTAGAACAGTATGTAGACCATAGGAGTTTTAAAGAAAACTGCAGTGTTTTTTACTATTTATATAAGTAGTAAAAGCGTATCTTTCATGTTGAACCACTCATTAAATGTACTCCTGCTTTACTTAAGACTCTTTAAAGCAAAATGGTAAGTCTTAAGGACCTTCAGTCAGCAGCTGGCTTTAAAGGCTAACTACTTAATGCAAGAGCCCGTGTTTGAGCCAAGGGTCATGAAGACATACCTGCTCTGACAGACAATAACTGGGAATCTCACAGCTCAACTGTTGCTTAAAACAGACAAGACAAGATTTTTTAATTCTCTGTATGGGAATAATTGTGATTAAAAAATGATCTCAGTGTTTGTGATCACTGACAAATTTGGATTTTTTTAGTCTAGTATTATGCCAAATATATTAAAATATACTGCCCCTTTTCACAGAATTCCATAAATTTCCTTTACAGAACACCAAATGATATTTTATTTCCTACAATACAACTGCATTTTCTCACAGATTCCAATTATCTTGTTGCTAATATTATCTCCAGAAGAAGCATCTCACACACAAACCCTGTATATTACACACATACATTTACAAGTAAACTCAAGTGCACAAGTAAACACGCATGAATCAATGTCAGCGCAAACCTGTAATTCTAAACAAATTCTTTGAAAGAAATGATAATGCAGTGTGTAAAATAGAAAACAACCTGTAATAAAAAGACCTTTAAATGTCCAAGGGAGAACACATTTTGCCCATTTATTACCAAAGGAAGCAGTTCAAACAGGTTTGCCATGACAACAGAACAGGGACGTAGGATGGTTTAATTTATATGCTGTAATATTACATAAATTCCACTTTCAGAGCTGGGCATGAGAGAGAAGCCAGTATTTAAATTCTACAGTGAGTTCTAAGTGGTACCTTTTGCATATAAAGTAGTCAAAGCCCCTGTCAGTGGATATGGTGAGCAAATGTCTAATTTGTAATTTAAAAGAAAATACATCATACTTTTCTTTACAGTGTTGATCAAATGAACCCATGAATCAGAAGTTTGACACATGCCAGTCACCTGCCAGGGTAAGAGTTGGCA